CTGCCGCTCGAGCCCGTTAGGAGCCGCGCGCGCAGCCTTCGGCCCAACCCCGGGACTTGGAATGAGCAGAACCAACGCGGGGGAATAATGGTAAAAATTTTATTAGCATAACTGCAAGAATTTTAAATGGACAAAGCAGAGTTAGAAGTTTACAAGGGGAAAAATAGTATCAAATAACTGTCGACCCAGAGGAGAATCCCCCGCCCCATCCCAGTGAGGACGGGGGCCCATCCCTGCTGACAGCTCTGGCACAGGGACGGAGACACCAAAAGGCTTTTTATCAGCAAAACCACACCAGGAAATGGCGATGGGGCCAAGCCCAAGCACCCGTGCCTGCCTCTGTGCAGCCCCTCGGCTCCAGGCCCCGCTGTGCCTCCTCCTGGCGCTGGGACCACCGCCTGCTCCCCCGGCACCACGCGCTGTCTGGCAGGCACAAACACCTCCCGTGCCTGGGCTACCGCAACACCTCACCTCCCACTCGCTCTGCACAGCACCTCAGCCCCTCTAGTCTAAAACCAAAGGTAAATAATAGGCATCTTCGATTCCTTGGTGGCAGCAGCCACCACCACAATAATAATAATTTGGCTGAGTGGCATCAGTGCTGCATCCCAGCATGGCACAAATACCCTTAATCCAGGAAAAACTCAATATTTTGCTTGGGAGATAACTTGTTTAATGATCTCCACTTAGCATTAATGACAGAAGAGCCTTCCTCCTCCTCACACACCTCTATGGCACCCTGCATCCAGGGATTGCCATGCTCTCCAGCAATCCCAAGGAAGAAAGCCTCAACAAGCAGTGAGGTAGGTTAAAGGATCCCCAGACTCAGGGAAACTGAGGCACGTGATTACACAGTTTGGTAGGTGCCATGCAATGAGGACTAGTGCCAGAAGCAGCACTCCAACCTTCTCACCCCTGTCCTGCACGAAGGCATTTTGTCCTCTTAGCAGGGCCTGAGAAATTGATCTTTTCATCAAGATAGCCATACATAGCTTATAAATAGTAATTTTAAGTCCAATTGATTTCAAAAATAAAATGACAAGTTTGACAGTTTTCTTGCTTCTTGGACCGTGCAAAAGCCACGCTCAGCCCAGCTGAGGTAGCTCCTGTTCTAGTGCCCGTTTGCTTAAACAGCTACAAACCAAGGCTCACTTGTACGGCCATCTGCTGAAAAGTAGCTGCAATGGTTTAAGCAGGATGGCAAAGCACGAAGGCAAGATTACATGAAGTGGGGAATTTCAGCCTAAAAAGTCTGGTTTGTTTCTGACAGTCTTCCCCACATCCCTAATGTAGCTACCAACCTGAAAACCATAACCTCAGCGTTACTCATTCCACTAGTGATATTGCTGTAGTATTCCAGAGTACAATCCCAAACACTGCTCTGCTCCCTGGGCTGCTTTGGCTCTTACCACAGAACACTGGAGGGCATTTCAACATTATATTTAACCTTCTGTAGAAGGCCCCCTCCAGCCAGAGATCTAAAAGTGCTTCAGCAAACACGAACTAAGCCTCACTATAACTTCATGTGTCCAGGCAAAAATGCCCCCATTTTACGGATGGGGAAACTCAGGCACAGTGAGGTTTAATAACTGGCCCAAAGTTACACAGCTAGTCAGGAACAGAGTCTGTATCTCCCAACTTCTCCTCCTTTTCTTTAGTCACAAGACCACTCTTCCACAGGAGAAAAGGAATCCCTTCTCCAGTTAGTCCTGCACTGATTTCAGATGGCTGAAGAAGAGAAACTGAGGGTGAAGCTCTGAGCTCTTGCCCCCTGCAGCATCGTATTAAGACCCTCTATAATATCCTGGAAGCTAGGCTTTGAGAGAAAGGCAGGTGATTCAAATACAGCAGTTTACAGGTTACAATAAAAAAAAAAAACACACTTTCAGGTGACTCAGAGGAAGAAGAGGAGGGGAGGAAGGAGAGGAAAGAGAAAAAAAAGCTTCACAGTTCACCTGCCTGTGCTAGGGAAAAAAAATACAAGTCACATTCCCTTCCCCATAGATTCCAGACCCTCCCAAACTGCAATAAAAGGAAAATACTCAATGGTAGTTAAGGTTAACAAAGCGTTGAGGTTACAGATGCAGTAAACCAGAACAACTGGCACACTGCTTAGAACAGCACAGCTTGAGATATAAAAGTTGCTTTCTTAAAATCACTTCAAAACCAATTTCTGTATAAGAGGATTAAAAGTAAATTAGATATGAATTCAAAATCAGTGTAGAAATCTACAGTTCTTATCAAAGAGAGGATACAGTATTCACTTTGATAGCAAAACCGAAAGTGTCACACACTTGACCCAAGAGACTTGTTATACCAGTAACAGTCAATATAAAAGGTTATTGCTCTAGTGTCTCTCAGTAGAACATGTTTAACAAGAGCACAGAAAGAAAGGAAATACCAAAGCCTGAGAGGTCTCATTAGCAAAGAGAGGAAGAAGAAAAGATACAGCCTAGAGTTTTTTTTTTTTTTTTTTTCTCTCCTGGCTTCTAAAACCCCTCTACTTCTCCTTCCTGCAACTGTTTTCAGACCCTGGCAGATGGGAGATTTCCAGGCCAGCTACACACCCGTCCCATTTGCTCCTGGCAGGGATGGACGGGAAGAGCTGTTCCTCAACCTCTGTGCACCTGCTTTCAGAGAAGGGATGATGCCAGCAGCCTCCTCTCTCTTGGAAGAGGCCAGTGGATGCCCTGAGCACACGTCAATGCTCAGGGGTGAACGGGGGCTTCTCTCTCACCTCTTGCTTCAGTGCTGAGAAAGGGCAGTGAATTACCAACCAGGAAGAAAAAGAAAAAAAAAAGAAAGAAAAACCAACCCACACGGTAATGCATCAATTCCTATTAAGAAAAGGTAAGTGGTATCAACTCCTTACAGTGTAATGGAACTGGAGAGACCCTTGCAGGGCCTTGGCTGCCTGTGTTGATGCTCTCGCTGCAGTAAGTCACTAGTGAGGCTGGCGCCAAGCTTACAGGGTGCCCTTGCTGTGCTATTGCTTGGGTGGCACAAATGCACTCAATGCCTCAGAGAGAGGTGTCAGAGCAGAGGACTGTGTTGTCTGCAAGTGTCACGACGTGCTTGGAGACATGACACAGGCTGAGGGGGCTGGGTAAGAGCTCCCTGCCTGAGTCCTGGGGCTCAGCTCGGCTGCCAGCCTCGCACAGACACACACACTGTAACGAGGGGACTCAGCCTCTCTCTGCTCAGATATAGCAAGGGCATTTCCAGTTTAATGGTCCATCTCATCTGCGGGTCTACTGCTCTACAGAGCAGCAGCAAGCACTCCCACCCCCCTCCCCTCCTCCCCTGCCTGGTAAAAATTTCTAAATCACAGTAATGTTCAAAGAGACAGAACTGCCAAGGGGGTGGCAGAAAGATGCTTAGCTCCCATCTATGATGCCTCTAACAGAAGAGTTTGAGAAAGCAGTTCTGACAGTAGGGCTTGTCATTTTGTTCTTTGAAGGTTCCTTTGTTGAGCTGCTTGAGGCAGAAGGCACAGACAAAGTGTTCGGGGTGAAATTTCTTGCCCATCGCAGTGATGCAGCGTCCTGTGATAGGCTTCTGGCACCCAGAGCACAGCGAGCCGCGGCGCTCGTGGTAATGCACCTCGCAGTAGGGCTGCCCGTCATGCTCGAAGAAGCTGCCATTGATGAATGGTGTAAAACATTCCTGCGAGGGAAAAAAGTGCAAGGGCACATATTATACAACCAGCCAGGGAGCTGGGCAGCTCACAAACCTCCTCTGCCCTGTGGCCCAATCCAATAGTCCTGCGGACTGTGTGCCGCCTCCCAGCACACATCCTTGTTGTCTGAAGAGCCAAGCTCTGTCCACCAAGAGGAGAGTTTCCAGGGCTGATAGAGGGGCAGATACAGCTGCAAGCAAGGGAAAAGAGCCCTTCCCCCAGCCGGTTTCACATGGAAAATACAACAAATGAGCTACCAGATATGCATCCAGTAAGCAAGAAGGAGAAGAGCCCTTAATACCTTCCACTGAAACAGGAAACACTGCAGCACTTTATTATTCTTTTTTTGCTAATCTCCCTCCAGCTTCCTTGCGACAGGGAGCTGACGGGTGCAGAATAGCTGACATTCTGCATATACCCCTTGCACAGGATCTTCCACCCTGAAGCATCTCCAGCATATACAGAAGTCGCATCACCCCTGGGAGAAGCCCCTGCTTGCCTTACAGTGATAATGATTTTGAACGGATGAGAAGATATGTGTGTTTCTTAGTGCCCAGCGCCCCTTCCCACCTCAGTGTCTGGTCAGCCCAGGACCATCCTTCCCCACAGGAGCTGGAGCCAACACAGCCAGCAGAGAGCGGCTGTAGCCAGGAATAGCTGAACTGGGATTAACACAGTTTGCCTGCAGCGAGTCCATGACTTTTTCTAACACCAACACTGACGATTTAGTTCAATAAACAGTCTCCTCCTTCAAACATCAGGAGAGCTGAAGTCAGTTCTGCTTTAGCAAAAACAGGAAGAAAATCCTGCTTTGTGTCCTGGAAGCCATCAGTGGTGGCCCCACTAACATGGGCAGTGTGGTGGAAAGCGGGAAGGAAAGCGGAGGTGCTTGAGATGCCTGAATACAGCTCCAAGAAGGCACAGCTCCCTCCAGCCCCACAGCCAGGACTGCAGCTTTCTGGCTCCGTTCTCCCTAGACCACGGCCGGAGCTGCCCTCGGACCCACGCTGGCCGCACCGTGAAGCCGAGCAGAGCTCCAAGCTCCGCACTGGAAACCAGGAGCTCTCAGTTCTGCTGCTGACCCTGGTTTCCATCTCTTTCCCACTCTAGAAAACACTGGCTGATATTTGCTCTTCTCTTAGGGCCTGTAAGAGTTAATATTAGCAAGGCTCTCTGAAAGAGTGCCAAGCATTTAATCTGCAGTATTCCTGTTTGTTATGCCTGTTGTATGGAGCCTGTCACTATTTCACTGACTTGCATGTTTGAGCAAAGTCAGTCTTATTAGTTTACATAGCCAGACTGAACATTGGAGGAAGATCCTCAAAATCTGATTGCTAAGGCAAGTGCTTAGAGAGAAGCTTAGCTTATAATTATTTAAAGGTCACAGAAAATGTCTCTGTTTATCTGTGAGTTGCTGCAGAAGCACATAATGGCAGCTGGGAACAAAAAGAGCAAAGCAGCTACCAAGTTTCATGTAAACAGGCAGAGGAACAAGAAGGTGTTTGGTTCCTGACATGTTTTTATCTTGTGGGGATAGCTGCCCTTCACTACCTCACAGGCGCCTTCTCCTGATAAGAGACCAGATGCCTGCAGGGCAGAAAGGCCAGGGGTTGTGCAGCAGCAGGAAAGGACCTTGGGTCTCTTACCCGACAGACAAAGCATTCAGGGTGCCACAGGGTGTTCAAGGCAGAGATATAGTTTTCCAGGATGGCCCGGGCACAGCCGCCGCACTTGGGAGCGAACATGTCAAAGTAGTCCTTGCGGCAATAGGCTTTGCCATCCTTCTCATGAAACCCTGCCAAAGGAAAAGGGGAGAGGCAAAGAGCATCAGCTCCTGATCTGCAGCTATGGCCAGACATGCTCTGTGGACTAACGAGAGCAGCTAGAAGCATCCTTCCCCCTGTCCTCACCGCCTCCCCACACACACAGCAGTTGCCTCTCATTCTGCTTCCCTTCCTGCCCCAGCCACAGCAATACTCTTCCTTTCTGGGCAGGAAAGGAGATTGTGGCTTCCAAGCAGCAGCTCTGCCTTACACACTCTCCTGCAGTTCAAGGAAGCAGATATTTATCCCCTCGAATAAGCAGCAATACCTTCAGGTCCAAAGAAAGCTCCACATTGGGCACAGAAGAAGTGTTCAGGGTGCCACGTCCTGTCCAAAGCTGTTACCACTTTCTGTTCAGCAGAAGACAAAGGGCACAGCATGTAAATTACGGTTTCAGCATAGAGGTAAGAGGCAGGGGGTGGGAAACATTACACTGCTGCTGGCAATAGCTTGCATAAAATAGTGTCCTTAAAGAGTGGAATAAACTGCCTCCTGCCTCTGGCTGGTTCAGGCTTCCCCCACTGCACACTTGTTTTACCCTAAAAGGATCTTACACCCTGCTCCCTCCCTTATACAGGGCCCTGTCCAGCTCTCAGAATTAGTGCTGGTGCCCGCTACCACCCACTACCAGTAGAGAAAAGCTGGAGAATCATTGCTGGCATGAAGCAGCGATATATCCGCAGGATCACAGCTTTAGAGAAGGTAAAATGACCTACAGAACCAGGCTGGGTCAAGTTATTTCCCTTCCAGAGGCAGCACAAGGTAAAAATAGAAATCCCCAAACAAAACTTTCTATCTGGAACACACGAGCTAAGCGGAGTTTTTAAACAGCATGGGCAGCAGCACCCAGCCAGCCCTAACCCCCCAGCAACTCACATCAAGGATCGGCCCGTTGCAGTAGTAGCAGCGAGGGGAGAAGAGGTTGTGATAATCCTTCTCGCAGTAGGGCTGACCATCCCGCTCAAAGAAGTTCCGGGACCCAATCTCCTCCTGGCAGTGGGTGCAGACGAAGTGCTCAGGGTGCCAGGTCTTCCCCATGGCTGTAACTACCTGTTGGGAAAACAAATCATGAAGGACAACTCTATTTCCTTCTCCCCTAGACCACATGACAAGATACCGGCTGGAGGTCAGCAAGAATGGCAAGTTCTACTACTCAAGTGAGCCCTGGACTGGGGTAGCATGAAAACTGAATTACCTATCATCTCAGGAGAGGGCAGTCCCTCAAGGGCAGGGTAGAAGTCACTGGAGGAGCTTACAGCGTACCTAGCCAGTGGATAAATAGAGTACTTCAGTTTCTCCAGCATCTCCAGTCCCTTCAGCCTCACGAAATAGCCCTCCCCACTGCTCCCGGCTGCAGCCCAAGGTTCAGCAACGAGACGGCATCTTCGACTCACCTGCCCCGCGATGGGTTTCTTGCAGGCTCCGCAGACACCTTTGGCAACTGTAGCCACTCCCAGTTTGTTCAGGTCGGACTGGAGACTTCCCAGCATGGTGTCCAGCTGGCTGCCAGGCTTGGGGGCTGCGGTTGGAGGGGAGCTGCTCCCGGCTTTGCCCTGTGCCATGAACTGCGTGGAAGAGAAACCAAAGACTGTCAGGCAAGTGCTGCCGCGCTTCCAAAGGAAACGTCCGCTGCTGCTGCCAGCTCTGCACAGACGGGCAGGAGACTGGTTGGAGATGGCTTTGCTCTCTGCAGAAGGCACCAGGAGGCAGGATCAAGCACACACGTGTTCTGCTCAATGGGACAACATGCACAGACCCTGGGATGTGCAACAACAGAGCTGTGGACTGAGGAGTCAACTCTCCAGCACTGCTCATATGGCAGAAGCTGCCAGCAGATCCCAAGCAGTCAGCACAGTGCTCTCTAAGCTGCTGCCAAAATTCTCCCGTTACCTCATCAGTTCCTGGCCAGCTGACAAAGTGGAGACGCCATCCAGCAGGCCCCTGTCCCTTGACCTCTCCCTGTTCCTACGCAGTTTTGCTCCCGTTCAGCTGACACTGTCTCCTCTCTGCTAGAGATCCCCGTCTTCCTCCTCATCCCATCTGCCCTTCAGCTGGATTATCTTCCCCTTCCCCTCCCTCCCCCAGCACTGCTTTCGCACACCATCTTGCCAAGTCTCCTCTGCCCCATGTGGAGCATGGAAAGTGCCAAGAAACAATTTCTTTAAAGTTGCCTCTTGTCCCCTATTTACCTATGGAGAGGGCAGCACATCCACGGCAGAGCCCCAGCAGATGGGATGCCAAAAGAAATACTGCTGTGCTTTCTATGTGACCTCTGGAAATGCACAGCGATGGGAGGAAGGGGATTAAGACACTTCTCTCGGAGACCATTTCTGGAAATCACACCATCACTCAGCCTGGAAGGGTTTCACAGAGGAGGAAGGAGGGAAATGTTTCACTAAGGCTCATAACTCTGGAAGAAAGTGTATGTTCTGTCTGAACACCAAACCCTCCTTCACTATCCAGGAAAACTGCGAAGTAAAATACAAATTTTACTTCAAATCAAATCAAATTCAAATCAGCACTCTTGGGTGAATCCCATCTGGGTCCATGGGTGTCCAGTTTGCCTACATAATCCCTAACCCAATCGTCCTCGACCAGCGGAAAGTCCTCCTCTCTCCTGGTTTTCTCCCTTGTCTCCAGGCTCTGCAGTTCATGGGGACCAGTGTTAGCAGTAAAGACAGAAACAAAGAAGGTGTTTAGTAACTCTGTCTTCTCTGCATCCTCCATCACCAAGGCACCCGCCCCGTTCAGCAGCGGACTAACATTTTCCCTAGTCTTGCTCTTCCTGCT